GGCTGGCGTGATGGGCCTGTTTTCCACCACCACCACCACCATAAGTTGGAGGGGGGAAGGAGGAGGACGAGGAGGGGGACGAGGAGGAGGAGGAGGAGGAGGAGGAGGAGGTGGAGGACCCCCTCCCCCTCAAACTTATGGTGTTGGTGGTGGAAAACAGGCCCATCATGGCGGGCCCCGGCCGGGAGGGGGCAGCTGGCGCGAGTGGCGAGGCCGGAAGGACCCGCACTGGGCGAGATCTGGGCGCCGACCCAGACCCCCTCGGGCGATGAAGCGATGGGCCCTTGCCAGCCCTCGGGGCCGTCAGGCAACGACTTGGGATGAAGAGCGGGTTCTGGAGAGTGGATCGAGGCCTCCAGGGGTCGACGCAATGAAAAAATCACGACGTCGGGGGTCTGGGAAGCAGGTGCAGGGAAAAGAAGAAGCGTGCGCCTCCCAGCGGGGCAGGTGGGCCCGCAGCAGGAGGGGGGGGAGGGCGGCCACCGCCGGAAGCGGTAGCACGGCACCGAACAGGTGCAGTTGAACGTGAGAGCAGGGATCTTTCGGCCAGGGGGGGGGGGGGACCCGCAGATGGGGTGGGGGGGGGGGCGGCCGCCGCGGGGGAGGCGGCGGGGGCCCCGCAGTGGAGGCAGCGCCGAACTGGCGCAGGGAAGTTGCCTGAGGGCAGCGGTGCCTGCCACTTGCCCGGCGGGCCAGAGGGGCCTTGCTCTGGGGGGGAGACAAGGGCCCGTCGCAGTCAGGGCAGCCGCGGCGAGCGAGCAGGTGCAACGGAGCGGAGCCCGAAGCGTTCCGCCCGCCTCGCGGTGTCAGCAGGCAGGGCGGGGGGAGAGGGGCGGGCGCAGGGCGACGCGGTGCTCAGATGACCGAAGGAAGAACACGGATGCACGGACGTCCGGCCCGCCCGTCTCGAATGGCCTCGGGGTGCGATAGGGCGGGGCCGTTCATAAGGAGAAGGAACGGAGGAGGAGGAGGAGGAGGAGGAGGTGGAGGAGGAGGAGGAGGAGGTGGAGGAGGAGGAGGAGGAGGAGGAGAAGGAGGAGGAGGAGGAGGAGGAGGTAAAGGAGGAGGAGGAGGAGGAGGAGGAGGAGGAGGAGGAGGAGGAGGGGAGGAGGAGGAGGAGGAGGAGGTTAAGGAGGAGGAGGAGGACCAGTGTAAACCCAAGAATCATCAACGATGTTGGAATTAACCCTCCCTCCAAGCTCCCTCTTCACTGGCCCCTACAACGGTTCCTTTCCACTGAGGGGACTGCCTTGTAGAAAGACAACCGCTTGAAGATCCTGAAGCTTGCCGAAACATTGTTCTCCGGATTTTAACGCCAGGTATCAACCTGACTGCTGCGCTTTGACGATCTGGAATCGTGCCATAACGCCGTTTTTGGGATTTCAACACCGCGAACTAACATAACTGTTGCACCCGCATAATCCTGCATCTTTCCGAAACACCATTCTGGTACGCAGATCATGGGATTTCGTGAAACTGTTGCAAATGATGTCGACGAATGTGCGCGTCGCTAAGGCGAGAGCCACATTTTGAAAAGGAACCGCCCTCAATCCGTGAAGCTTTTGCGAATTTCTGAAACGATCCGTGTGGGCGGCGCTAAGGCGAGAGCCACATGTTGAAAAAGACCCGCCCTCAATCCGTGAAGCTCTTGCAAATGTTTAGAGTGAATGTGCGCGGCGCTAAGACGATAGCCACATCTTGAAAACGACCTGCCCTCAATCCGTGAAGCTCGTGCAATTTGTTACGAAGAATTCGCGCGGCGCTAAGGCGAGAGCCACATTTTGAAAAGGGACCGCGCTCAATCCGTGAAGCTCTTGCAAATGTCTGAAACGAAGGCGCGCGGCGCTAAGGCGAGAGCCACATTTGGAAAACCACGCGCCCTCCATCTTTGAAACTGTTGTCACCCTTTAAGCTTGAGTGTCATGAATGGTGAGGAAGTCTCCGGCGAAACGCCCCGCCCGCCCTAAAGATTGGCCTCGGAGTGCAACAGGGAAACGTTATTTGTAAGGAGAGGGAATGGAGGAGGATGAGGAGGAGGAGGAGGAGGAGGAGGAGGAGAGGAAGGACAAGGAGGAGGAGGAGGAGCAGGAGGAGGAGGAGGAGGCATACACGCTCGGAGCTCCGCGACAATTTTTTTTTGATCGGTGCTGGACCCTCTTCCCTGGCGCGCGGAGCGCGCCCAGGGGCGGCGCCCGCCGTTGCGCGCGTTCCGCGCGACAGGGAGGGAGGTCCAGCGCAGACCCACGAGATCCCCGCAGAGCTCCGAGAGCTTCTGTGGATGCATGGGTGCTCGCCCTCTGGCACGGAGGCCTCTGGGCACGCAGCATCGTGGGCCCCCAGGGAAGGGGAGGAAGAGGAGGAGGAGGAGGAGGAGGAGGAGGAGGAGGAGGAGGAGGAGGAGGAGGAGGAGGAGGAGGAGGAGGAGGAGGAGGAGGAGGGGTGCGGGGGGGGGAGGGCTCGGGGGCGATGCCTCGGCCCCCGATCGCCAGTTGGTCGTCTGCCAGGGCCGATAGCCCTCTCCGCCCAGGAAGGGTGCGGCTTCGCCATCGGAGGCCTATCGTCGATCCATTGCCGATTCCAGGGCGCTGCTTCCCCCCCTGGACTGGCACGCCCCCATCGTTGCTCCCTCGAGGAGGAGGAGGAGGAGGAGGAGGAGGAGGAGGAGGAGGAGGAGACGGATCCCGCTCTGCCTTCGCCCCAGCTCCGCTTGCTCCGCAGTCTTCCGCGCCCCCAGCCCCCGGTTTCTGCCAGCGCCGCTGCCCCTGCACAGCGAGCCGCCGCGCAGCTCACTCTGCCTCGGCCCCCAACATGCTCTCACTCGCTCGCTGTACGTTCGACGCAACCGTGCTGACCCAATGGTAAGTTCGCGTCCTGCCGGCGCGCTGCGGCGACCCCGTCGCGGGCGTTCTCAAGGTGGACCGCCGCCAGCTGCCCAGAGTGGGCCAAGAAATAAAACGATCTGGCACTCGAAACGCCACCGACGATCCGGGTGGTGCCAGAAACCAACTCCGAGGTCGTCAGGACACGAGCCAGGCACACCGAACTCCCCAGGAGCGTGGCGTGCGGCACAGGTCGTCCGGTGCTGTCTGGGCCTGGTGCCCGGAACGCGATGCGCACGAGCTCGCGGCGGAGCGGTGAGGAGGAAGGGGAGGCTCACCATCCACCAAACCACCCCAACCCAACCCGAAGGCTTCAATTTGCCCTCCATTTCCAGTGTGGGGGGGTCGGGGAACACCGAAAAAACACTTATGGAGCCCATACCCCCCCCAACCCGACATTCGGGTCGTCAGGTTGGGTTGGGGTGGTCTGGTAGGCAGCCAGAGACGAACACGTGTGTGTGTGTGTCTTTGTCTGAGTGTGTGTGTGCGTGTGTGTGTGTGTGCGTGTGTGTGTGTGTGCGTGTGCGTGCGTGCGTGCGTGTGTGTGTGTGTGTGTGTGTGTGTGTGCGTGTGCGTGCGGGTGCGTGCGTGTGTGTGTGTGTGTGTGTGTGTGTGTGTGTGTGTGTGTGTGCGCGTTGCGTGTATGTGTGTGTGTGTGTGTGTGCGTGTGTGTGTGAATATGTGAATGTGTGTGTGCGCGTGTGTGTGTGTGTGTGCGTTTGTGTGTGTGTGTGTGTTTTCGTGTGTGTGTGTGTGTGTGTGTTTTTGTGTGTGTGTGCTTGTGTGTGTGTGTGCGCACTCGCTCGTCTGTCATGTTCTGCGTCTGGCCGCCGCACAGGTGCTGGTTCACTTCGACTCGGACGAGAAGGTGTGGAGCCTGAGGCCGTCCCAGCTGAGGCCCCTCCCGCCCTCTATCGCAGAAGCAAGTCCAGGATTAAGTCGGGCCTGTCCCTCTACAGGGGGTATATTCCAAAATAGTCAAAAAAAGTCTGGGGACGATTTTTGAATGTTTTTGACGATTTTGATATATGTTTGACTGTCTTTTATTTTTCGCCCAAAATCCCCCTGTAGGGGGGGGGCAGGCCCGACCTAAATCTAGGATGACCATTCGACCGTTGATCTAACCTCGCAGCGCCGTGACGGTCAACCCATGAATCAGCGCGCGCACTCGGAAGTGCAATGGCTGTGTTATTGGTTCCCTAGATTTCCGGTGGCTCCACAGTTGGCGTGTGCTTGGCGGTTGCTTCTGCCTCAGGCTGTGCAGCTGGGGCCGAAGTTTGCAAGTGGCAAGTGGCCATTATATCACCACCCACCAAACCACCCCAACCCAACCCGAAGCCCTCGATTTGCCCTCCATTTCCGGTGGGGGGGGGGTCGGGGAACGTTGAAAAAACACATGGAATCCGTACCCCCCCCAACCCGAAATTCGGGTCAAATTTGGGTCTTCGGGTTGGGTTGGGGTGGTCTGGTAGGTAATCATTATATTGCACTCTTTTTGGTCATCTCTCGTCCCTCATCCTCAATACTACACTGGAGTCTTCGAGAGTCGTGCGCGTCAGGCTACGTGCTGCTGGCGAGCCCCATCCAGTTTTACGCTTGTGTCGCACCCATCTCCCCTGAGAAGGGCTCCCGTTTCCTTTCCCGCGTAGCCACTCCTCCCCCCTTTCTCTTTCCGCCGTCTCCTTCCCCTTCCTCTCTCCCCATCCCTCTCCCACCTTGCCCAATCTTGTACTGCACAACAATGCGGCGCGGCCAGAGAGAATCAACAAAACCGACACCCCCGTCATCCTGCTCCGACTACACCTCGCATGATCATATCCGCTGTCCTGAGCAGAGTGACCCTAGCGGCCAACCCGGCGAATCCATCACCACGCCAGCGAGGAGAGAGGAGCGGCAGGGGGAGGAGGAGGAGGAGGAGGAGGAGGAGGAGGAGGAGGAGGAGGAGGAGGAGGAGGAGGAAGAGAGGATGCAGCGTCGCGTTCGTCCCCTCAGCTTTCCTCCTTCTCCTCCAAAATTGCGCTGAAACAGATCTATGATCATATCCGCTGTCCCCAGTATCCATGTCGTTTCGAGAGGCCATAGGTGCCAGGCTGCGCCAGCTGCGCGAAGGCAGCGTCGCGCATGGCTGCGGCTCCTCCCTCGCCATGCCGTGTGCTGGCACGTGGCGTCGTCACCCTGCCGTTTGGCATCGCACGGGCCGCGACGGCGTCCATCCAGGACCGGGTGCTCGCGTACGAGGCCTTCCACCGCGAGAGCGGCAGCCTGCGAGATGTGCCGGTGCTCCTCCTGCGACTGTCTGACAGAGGCCTGGGCGACAACCTACAAAATTCGCAGGGAGCCCGTCTGAGACAACGGCGGCTCTTTCCTGCCTGGCCCCGCTCCGCTCAAAATCGGTCCTCTGCCCGTGTCGGGGCCCCTCCTGGCTCGTTGTGCACGGCAGATCCAGCCGTGGCGACGAGAAGCTCCCAGGAGGCCTCGGGAGGGCGAAATGTGCCAGGGAGGGCCGTCCTCAGTCTCGACTGGCCCTCCCTCGAAAAGTGATGTGGAGCCGCTCCTGGGCTTCGCCGCGACCCGCAGCCCCCCCGTGCGCTTCATGATCACGCACAGGAGCCGAGACGCGGACGTCAGCGACACCTGCACGCGGCCCGAGGCCTGCGTCGAGCGGAGCAGCACCGCCGCGGCCTGGCTGGAGGGGCTTCGGCCGCGGATCGACTGGGCCTTCGACGAGGCCGAGGCGAGGCGACTGGGGCACCGCGTCGTGTACGACGCGGACGGCGTCGACAATTCGGAGGCGGGCGGCTCGAGACACCGGCGGCCCTCCCTGGCGCTCGCCACCGTGTTTGGGCCTCCGTCCTTCAGGAGGGAAAGAAACACACAGACACAATTAATCGTCGACTCCCAGGAAAATATGCAAAAATATGGGAAGTGGTGGGGAAGACAAAAACCCAGAAAATATGGGAAAATATGGGGGATATGTTTATTTGTGTGTATTTATTTGTGTGTTCCAGTTCCCCTTCAGTCCTGGAGGCTTCTCTTCGCCGCAGCCGGATACGCCCCGAAAGCCGGGTCCGGAGGGTCCCTATAGGAGTGTCCTGGGACAGATTTCGGGCGGATGGGGGCAGGGCGGGAGAGTCGCATCTCGGCTGGCCCTGCTCCGAGCAAGAGCGTGAAGGAGATGGCGCACAGGCAGCACGGCCGCAACGAGTTCTCGCGACGCTTGGTGACGGATCTGGTGTTGATCCCATCGCCCGCCGTCGCCGGGCGCATCGCCTCGCTGCCGATTCTGGCAGATCCGTCGACCGACGCCTACCTTGCGGTGCACCTGCGAACGTACTACCTCGATGAGGTGACGAACCCTGCGCCGACGGATGCGGCAGCGCTGGAGCCTTTCGCAGATGTAAAGCTGGAGCTTCTCTACCAAGGCGTCCTCCTATCCCAGTTCAAGTGCGTCCGTAAGAACGTCAAGCGCTGGAAGAAGCAGCAGAGGCTCGAGGGCGATACGCCGCCCGTGTTCGTGGCTTCGGATTACCCCCGCTTCAAGCACGACCTGGCCAGGAAGCTTGGCTCGAGTGCTGTCACGCTCGGTGGCGCCGTGGTGCACTCGGGCATGGGGGACACCCTCGCGGCCAGCCCGGAGAAGTTCCACGCGCTCTGGGCCGAATTCTTCCTGCTGAGGGACGCCACCGAGGTGGTCACGGCCTCCACCTCCCTCTTCAACGAAGCCGTCACGCACTACCGCGGCCGTGGCCGGCGGGCCCAGCCTTGGAGCGAGAAGGCGCAGTGGGAGTGCAGGGACCGCTGCGCGAAGATGATGTGGACGGTGCTCTTCCGTGCCCTCAAGCGCGGCGGCGTGCAGGAGGGGCAGAGGGCGATGACGACGTCGCTGTCGACGTCGTCGCTTTTGGGAGGGTTTTTGGGAGGGCGCGTCCGAAGGTTCTCGCCGCCAGGGCTGGGCGCGGGTCTCAAAGCTGTTCGGAGGTGGGGGCTCCTGGAGGGGTCAGGGGGGCAGGGCTTCTCAGCGGCCCCCTTGCCGTCTGGGGAGCTTTTCAGAAGGGGGATGCGGGGATCCCTTCTGAATAGTCTCCCTGCCCTCTCAGAAGTCTGCTGCTGCTCCCTCTCCCTCCCGCCTTCCTCCTCCTCCTCTTCCTCATGGACGCGCGTGTTTTGTCGTGGAGTTTGGGCAGGCGGCGTGTTTCACGGACATGCCTGGCTGTTGTTCCGTATTTGTGTACACGACCGCCTCGTGAGATCTTGGGACGTCGGTTCAACAGGCGGTGGATGTCCGTGTATAGACCCGCGCCCTGCAGGACCTCTTCCTCTCGCCCTCTGCCATTTTGTTGTGCGCGCCGCCGGCAAGCGCTCTCGGAACAGCGGGGGGTACGATGCGCGAGCCGTCCTGGAGGACTCCTACGGCAGCTACGGCTGGAAGGTCGACGAGGATTGCCCGGAGATCCGGAGAGCGATGCTCGGCGCGTGATGGCCAGCAGCTCTGAAGGGGTCGCCCTGCTTGCTTCCGTAAGCAGTCGGCAATCAAAAAGCAAAGAAACGCGCTCCTGTAGTGGTTTCCTTGTCCTCCTCATCCGTAGCCTCGGGCAGATCCAAGTCAACCTCGTCATTGCCCTTGTCGTCATCCTCATGGTGCCCGGACCCCCCGGCTTGTCTCCGTCCTCCCCCCCTGGCTACGTGTTGTTCCTCATCCTGTACCGTTTGCTCCTCGTCTTTGTCCTCGTCCTCCTCCTACACCGCCTTGTCCGCCTGATCATGCGCATCCACCGCTTCGTGCGCATCCTCTTCATACTGATTGTCTTCGCCTCCTCCTCATCCTCCTTCTACTTGGCCTCATCGTTCTATTCAAGTTGCTTGTGCCATTCCGCCGCCACCCAGAAGCGGATATGTGTGGTTTGTTGTTCCGTAGGTGTTATTTGCCCCGCGGAGCCATGCTGTCTGCGTGTAGTTGTTGCTGATGTGTCTCTTGGGAGCATGTCGGGGGCCCTGGGGGCCATCTTATCGGGGGTGGGCTTGTGGAGTCCCCGCGAGTTCCTCCCTCTGGGCACCCTCGTGGGGCCCTTCTGAGAGCCTGCTTGGCCGTCCTGGGGGGACGCTTGGGCTTCCTTTGGGCCCTCCCCCTCCTCATCCTCCTCCTCCTCCTCCTCCTCCTCCTCCTCCCCCCCCTCCCCCTCCTCCTCATCCTCCTCCTTCTCCTCCTTCTTTCCCTCAAATCCTCCGGGTCTTCTTGGGGCCGTCTTTGGGCCCCCTTGGGCCGTCTCCGGGCCTTCTTGGGCTGGCCCGGGTGGCGTCTCGAGAGAACGTGAGCACCAAGTCACCACCAACAACAAATCAATGGTCTCTGCCCTCTTGAGGCCCTCTCGGGTGTTCTCTTGGGGCCTCCTTGGGGCGTCTCGGGGGCGTCTCGGGCCGTCGTCGGGCTAACTTGGACGTTCTTGAGGCCCCTCCGGCGTGCTGGAGCCCTTCTGGAGCTGTCTTACTAGAAGGCATCCTGGGCAGCTTGGCGGCCGCGGAGGGTGAAGTAGGAGGGCTCCGAGGGCACGGTGCGCGTCAGATGCAGCAGCCCTTCGCCTCTCCTGCCGCTCCCCGGCCCCGTGGCTCACCACCCACCAAACCACCCCAACCCAACCCGAAGGCCTAAATTTATCCTCGATTTCCAGTGGGGGGGGTCGGGGAACGTTGAAAAAACACATGGTATCCGTACCCCCCCCAACCCGAAATTCGGGTCAAATTCGGGTCTTCGGGTTGGGTTGGGGTGGTCTGGTAGGTACTGGGCCGCCTTCGCTCCCAACCGCAGTGCCCACAGGGGTGGCGCCTTGAGCCTCTGCCCTGGCCCTAGTCCTGGCCTGCTCCCCGCGCTGCTCGCAGGCTCGCTGTGGCCCTGCCCCTTGCCGCGGCCCTGCCCTGCCCTGCCACGGAGTCCTCGACGTCGCCCCCCTCGTCCTCGCCCCTCCTCCACCTCCTCCTCCTCCTCCTCCTCCTCCTCCTCCTCCTCCTCCTCCTCCACAGGCCGACAATATGAATACTCGCCCTTCCCCTGCACTCCACCAGATCTCCCCCCGAGCCTGGCTCTGGAAGAGGAGGGGCAAGAGCGAGACTGGCACACGCAAGACACGTGCACAGCGCACGGGGCGAACGACACAAATACTCCCGTTGCCCCGCTGCAGGGTGGGCCCTCTCCCGCTTCAGCCGCGAGTGCACTTGGGACGCGCCCTCGGGCCAGCTTGCCCGAGTCGGCTTTCCGCTCGCACGGGTTCGGCATTGCAAAGAGGAAAGCCTTGGCCCCGCTGTCGGACGTACCCCGCCCCGAGGTCGGGACAGACGCCGTTTGCGTCTGGGCTCGCGGCAGCTATCCCCGCATCGAGGGGGGTAGGCTGGTGGCGCTAAGCTAGGTCACCCAGGGGGCCGCGAAGGTAATCGCGCTGCGCACGCCGCGACCTCGGTCACACGTTCCCTGGCCACCCCCCCCTCGTCCGCGCACATGCCGCGTGCCATGGATGCGCACATGCCGCGTGCCTTGATGCGCACCCCTGTCCCTCTTCCTGCCCCCCCCTCGTCGGCGCACCCGGATTCCCTCCCCCCTTTGTGGGCGGGAAGCACACCCGTACCCACGGCCTCGCGGGACCCCTTGTGCCGCGACCCCGTGGATGCGGGGCGTCTTCCTCGGATCCCCTTGCGCGCAACGAGCCCGTGAGACCGCGCGCCCCGGAGTCCAGACCGCGATGGCTTGCATGTGCACGCGGCCGCCACTCGTGACCACCCCGTCGCAGCCCCGCTGCCAGGGCCTCCGCCAGCTGCGTGTGACCGCCGGCCGCTCTGGCGCGCTGCTCTCCGGCCGCGAGCGACATGCCCGTGGGCGGCCCCCGCGAGGCACAGGCGCGCCCCGCCGCAGCCCCGCGCTGCCCCCCCCGAGGGCGCCGTGAGGGGCGGAGGCGCTTGCGAGCCTGGACCATGGCCCTACCTATCCCTGCGTTTGGCATCACATCGCCTCGATGCCGATCTCAATGCCTTTCGAGGGCGCACCCCCAAGGTTGTCACACTGCTGTTTGGCCCATCGATCCTAGGGATAGGGATCAGCTCGAGGCTGGTTAGGAGGGAGGGGGGAGGAGGTCCCAGACATGCCCGCGTCGTGAGAAAAATCAAGACGGGAGGCGTTTTCGGTCTCCGGGGGCCCTCGATGAGCCCTGGGGCCGTCAGAAGACGAGCCCGGATGGAGCACCGGGTCTGGGGAGGGTCTGGAGTTTTGAAAAACCCTGCGTTGCACAAGGGGTCCCTGGGAACCAGCGGAGGTGTCGTTATGGAAATCCTTAGAGGGTCTTCAATGCTAATTGCCTCCCACCCTAAGCCCTCGGCCTGAAATCCCCTCCTCGTCCGTCCCCTTATCATCAGCAGCTGCATCATTATCATCATCATCATCATCATCATCATCATCATCATCATCATCATCATCATCATCATCATCATCATCATCATCATCATCATCATCATCACCACCATCATCATCATCATCATCATCATCATCATCATTATCACCATCACCATCACCATCATCATCATCATCATCATCATCATCATCATCATCATCATTATCATCATCAGCAGCAGCATCATCATCACCAGCATCATCAGCATAATCAGCATCATCATCAGCATCATCATCACCAGCATCATCATCATTTCCATCATCATCATCATCATCACCATCGCCATCATCATCATCATCATCATCATCATCATCATCATCATTGCCATCATCATCATCATCACCATCATCATCATCATCATCATCATCATCATTATCATTATCATCATCATCATCATCAGCATCATCATCCTTAGCATCATCATCATCATCATCATCATCATCATCATCATCATCATCATCATCATCATCGTCATCATCGTCATTATCATCATCACCATCATCATCATCACCATCATCATCATTATCATCATCATCATCATCATCAGGCGCGCACGTCTTGCCTGAGCCTGGTCCGTGGCGTGTGTAGCTCAAGGTGGCTCCCTGGATGCACCTGCCAGTGGACCCGCTGCTCCTGCACACGCTCACCAATGTCTCTCTGTTCGGACTGTATAGTCTCATTGGGCAGTCAGTGGCTGAGCCCATCCACGTCTGCCATTCCTGCCAGTGTCAGTGCGTGAGTTTGAACGACGGGGAGTGCCCCGCGGTCGAACGCCTGGTCGCCCAGCAGCTCAAGGGCCAGGCCTCCAGCGTTGTCGCCTGCGGAACCACTTTCCACATGATCTTCGTGGTGCAGTTCCGCTTCGTCCTGGTTGCCTTCGTGGCCAGAGTGTTCGTCGGCCGGCTCTTTCCCGTTCGTGCTGCTCCTCGAGTGCACGCCTTAAACGATGGCGGTTCCACGGCCGTTGGCGGGCCCCGCGGCCCAGAGCGCTCAGGCGGCGTTTTGTCGTCGTTGGCGACCGGGCGTAAGGTCTTGGTGCGACACGACGACGATGTGTGGCATGTTCGTGCTTTGCTCGCTCGCGTGGCCGAGGCGCGGTGGGTCATCTACACCCCCGACTCAGAGATGTGCGAGGAGGATTACGGGCCGCTGAATGGAGACGCGACGGGTGCCCGCGCTTCTCGACCCGACGGGAGCATCCCGGCGAGCCTGAGAGGCACCAACATCTACAGCTTCGGCCCGGGCCTGGCGCCAGAATGCGCAGCCTTCAGGGGGCTGATGGAGGAGGCGGCAGACCTCGCGGCGCGCGGCGGTGGCGTCGGCGCTGCTGCTGGGGCTGTGCAAGAGGTCTGGCTGTTCACAGAGTCGAACGCTACCGTCGCTACTAGAGACGCGCGCCTGGTTGCCACGGAGGCGGTCCACGACAAGAGAGGGCTGGTGCGCTCCGGGCGAGACATCCTGACAGTGCACTTGGAGAGCGCCCCCCAGGTCACGGTCGAGCAATGGAAGCGAGCGCGAGCTAGCGGGGTCGACGCCAGAGTGATGGCGGCCAAGTTCAGCCCCGCGGGCGAGCGGTATAGGCCGCGAGCCAGCGTCGCGGAGACGATCAGCGAGAGTGCGATGGACCACTGGCTGGTGAAGGCCCCGCGGACGGCGACCTGGGTGGCCCGCTTCATGGCTCGCCGCAACACCGGTCCAGTGGATCAGCAGCGGTGGTGGCGAACTACAGCGAAGCTTAACGCCTCGGACCGGGCAGTGGCTGAGCACGGCCAGCTGTGCTCGGTGGTGGTTGAGAAGGCGGCGAGACGATTGCTGACAATCGAGTACCAGTACGCGGAGAAAGTGCGAGGTGGAGAGCGCGGGGGAACTGCCGGAGCGGTCGCTGGAGCCACTGGCAAGGCGGTCACCACGCGCGACGAGATGGATCTGTTCGAGGGACGCCGGCACATCAAGCCCACTGTGCACCGCGCGCCGAGCTTGGTCGATCACGCGAGCAAAGAGCTCGAGAAGTAGTCGCAGGTCCAGAGGCAGGCCCGGGAAAGCACGAGAAGAGCGAGCCTTCC